TCCCGCCACAATGTTACAAAAGATAATCGTTACACTTTATTATGCTGATTTTCCTTGTGTACTAGAAGCAAAGCAGAGGGGGTATCTTGTAATGAATGAAATAGAAAAGATAACTATAAAGGTTAATATGTAAATCTACTCATTGAAATCTCCTCGACTCCGAACCTACAAGAGTTCTAACAGAGTGACCTAACAGAGTGACGTGGCGAGTGGGAGCCAAAAACCAAACTTAAGCTGCCTCAGTAACATGAAAAAAATAGAGAAAAACTTTGTTTAGGCGGGAATAAGATCAAAAGTATCTCACCCTGATAGAAAATCTTATGTGTGGAATCTAATATGGTTAGTTGCTCCCTGGCTGTTGTGTGGTTTTTCTAGGCAAATTTACGTCCAGTAGTTTGCCATTGCTTTCTGGACTGTCAGCTTTCTTGATATCACTGTCGAAACCAACGCAAGGCGCATGGCCCTCAGCTGGGATCGAACCCGGCATTACGAAACGTTCGCATCGACTTAGCCACAGAGCCGACGGGGTCTAATATAGTGTAACAGTAAAATCTATGCACACTAACTAAAATAAAAAGAATGTAAGTCAACAAATTCAGCAACTTTATTTACTTGATGACATATAACAATAATACTTGATCATGAAGAAAACAAACACGACTTAGAGCTGCCAGTTGGTCTCAAGAAGGAAACATTGCTTGGCATTTGTGGGTTTTGTTTTCGTTTACCTAGGTCACCTGGCGGCTCGGGTTACGTCAGTCAGGGTCAAGGGTCGGCGTTGTTGTTGCTTTGTGTCTGTTAGTGGTGGTGGGGAGGGACCTTAGTGGGCTTAAGCTTTGTTTAATTGTGTAATAATAACAATATTGATGCGACCGCCTCTCTGTCTCACGGCACGACATGTGCCTGATTACAAATGAGATCAGAGCACTAGTGTCTGGAGTGCAGTGAGGAAAATCTGAACCAAATTACTTCGGCATACGATTTAGTAGATGTCACGTAACCAACAATATCCTGTTCAACGCATCTTAGTTTTAACCGAGATTTATAGAATTGTTTATATTTCAATAATAGATATTTATGCTTGCTGCCAAGACGCTTGACAGGCTCCTGTGTTGCTGAAATATTCCCCATGAAGATGGCCAACATCTTTAGCCCTCGAGGCGGATAGTCATACAGTGGTTTTCACACTGTTACGAATCCATTCAACGAAGTAGTGACTGTTCTTATTCGGCACGTTCAGCATTTGTTCGTCAACTTCTTTGATGGACATTTTCCTTCTAAATACAGTTGCTATAGTAATGTATTTTTTTTTTTAAAGGCAGATTTTACGTTTAGTAGTTGTACAGTCCATTTTCAGTACCAATGTCGAAACCAACGCACGACGATTTCTCCGCAGCTAAGATCGAACCCGGCATTACGAAGAGCAAGACGTAATCACCGATACAAGTGGGAGAACATAAAAATATGAACGGACAGAAGTCTGACTGTCTTCCGCTGTGCAAACACACACAAAATGATTGCATGAATGAATAAATGATTGAATGAATGAATGTGTAGACATGCCAATATCTGACAGTCATAGCTAGCCATTGACTTGCCAGTTTATCGTGTAGTCCACGAAGAGTCTACATTTTACAAATCTCAATCGTTACGGATAAAAAAAATAAAGCGATACATGTAATTTTATAAAACTTAATTAAAAGCAAGCGGGCCCAACAACATGGACAACTAGAGGATTCAGACCTGCGCGTGAAGTGTCGGTGATTGAACCCGCACACGGACACACATTCCTGGCCAGGGCTATCGGCTGCTGAACCAGCGGGCGGGGAATTTAATGGTGGACGTTTCGACCAGACATTTGTGTGGATTTCATGGTGCTGCTGTTTGATTTCTGCTTGTTGATGAACACTCGCGCTTCCTTGGGATATTTTACATCTGGTACGGACAGTTGAGTGGCTGTGATGATCTGTGAATGTTTGTACAGTTCATTAGCCTTCAGTAGAAAAGTCAGGTCACGCCGCGTCGACACTCGACACTCGTTTGTTGTTTACTGTTGTAAAAGTGTTTGTTTGCCGCTTTTACACGCTCTAATGGTTGTTGCTAAATTATTCGAAAGTATTCTCACTGTTAGTATTGTGGCATATGCAGTGAGGATATCCACTTTATATAATGCAACGCAATTTAAACAGGACGTTGCACAACCAACACCAACAGCCCCTGGCTGTTGCGTGTCTAGGCAAATTTACCTCCAGTAGTTTGCTATTGCCTCTGGAAGGTCGGCTTTCTTGATACCACTGTCGAAACCAACGCAAGGCGCATGGCCCGCAGCTGGGATCGAACCCGGCATTACGAAGCGTTCGCATCGACTTAGCCACAGAGCCGACATTTAAACATTTATAATTAATTAAACCTAATCATCATGTAGCAAGCTTAACTACAAATTTTTAACAAGGCTAAATTTATTCATAAAATTGTTACTCACAACACTCCAAACCACCTTTCCTAGTTGATTAAATCTAATCCTACGAATTTATTACATTTACCTAAACCTAGAATAGATTTATTCAAAATAAGTTTAGCAAATTCTGCTGCTCATTTTGGAACCATCTTCCACTTGATCTGAAAAATACAAAAAGTTCCTGTTCATTTAACTGCAAACTTTTTCATTTCATGCTTACAAATGATTACATGTCATCTTAAATGTAATTATTAATCCATTTTGCTTTATCAATTTATAATTAAATGAGGTGTGTATGGTGTGACATGTACATGTGTGGTATGTATGTGTGTATTTGTAGGCTTGTTTGTGAATGTATGAATGTGTGTATCGGTAATTGTATAAGTTATTGTGTGAGTGTGTGCCTGTGTGTGTGTCTGTGGGATTGTGTGTGAATATGACTCAGTGAGGGCGTCTGTGTCTCTGTGTGTGTGTGCATGCGTGTGTGCGGTAGCCTTGTTGTGTTTGTGTGTGTGTGTGTCTGTTTGTGAGTCTATGTTGTTTGTGAGTCTATGTGTGTGTGTATATGTCAGGGTGTGTGTCTCTGTGTATGTGTCTCTGCCTGTTTTTGTGTGTGTGTCTCTGTGTGTGTTTGTATTGTGTCTGTGGATGTGTTTGTTAGTGTGTATATGTGTGTCTACGTGTATGGCTGAATGTATGTGTCTGTGTGTGCCTGTGCATGTGTTTGCATGTCTGTGTGTTCTATGTTTATATGGCTGTGTGTGTGTGTGTCTTTTTTGTATTTGTGTTTATATCCGCCTGTGTTTGTATATGTTTCTGCATGAATGCCTGTGTATGTGTGCGTCTCTGTGTGTAAATGTCTGTGTGTTTTGTCTCTGGGTGTGTCTACATGTGTGTGTATGTGGGTGTGTGCCCGTGTGTGCCTGCGTGTATGTATGTCTGCATCTGTGTGTGTGTCTGCGTGCGCATCTTCGTCTGTGAGAGTGTGTCTGTGTGTGTTTGTGCATGTATCTGTGTGTGCGTCCACGCGCATGTCTGAAGGTTTGTGTGTGTGTCTGTGTGCGGATCTCTGTGTGTGTGTCACATGTGTGTCTGTGTGCCTATCTCTGCGTGTGTGTCATGCGTGTGTCTGTGTGCATATCTCTGTGTGTCACATGTGTGTGTCTGTGTATCTCTTTGTGTCACATGTGTGTGTCTGTGTGCATATCTCTGTGTGTGTGTCACATGTGTGTGTCTGTGTGCGTATCTCTGTGTGTGTGACATGTGTGTCTGTGTGTGTATCTGTGTGTATCTCTCTGTGTGTGTCACATGTGTGTGTCTGTGCGTATCTGTGTGTGTGTGTCACATGTGTGTGTCTGTGTACGTATCTCTGTGTGTGTATCACATGTGTGTCTGTGTGCATATCTCTGTGTGTGTGTGACATGTGTGCATATCTGTGTGTGCAATTTTTTCTGTTGGTGTATCTATGTGTGTATGTATGTATGTATGTGTGTGGAATGTGCATGTTTGTGTGGGTAGGTAGGTATCTATAGGGGTGTGTTTATATTTGTGTGTGAAGGTATTTCTGTGTGTATATATGCATGTTTAAGGGATTGGGTTGGCGCCGGTATGTGTGTGCGTGCACTAGTGTGTCAAGTTGATATGGTCATTAGTATGTTGGAATGGTAATTGATTTGTTGATGTGGTCATTGGTATATTGATGTGGTCATTGGTATGTTGATTTTGTCATTGATATGTTGATATGGTGATTGATATGGTCATTGATCTGTTGTTGTAGTCATTGATTTGTTCATTAATTGCTTGATACGGTCAATGATGTTCTGATATTGTAATTGATCTGTGAGATATTTGCATTGATGTGTAGATTCAATCATTGATGTATTAATATGGTCATTGATGTGTTGCTTTGGTCATTGATGTGTTGGTGTGGTCATTTATATGTTGGTGTGGTCATTAATGTGTTGGTGTGGTCATTGATGTGTTGGTGTGGTCATTGATATGTTGGTGTGGTCATTGATGCGTTGATGTGGTCATTGATATGTTGGTGTGATCATTGATGTGTTAGTGTGGTCATTGATATGTTGATGTGGTCATTGCTATGTTGGTGTGGTCATTGCTATGTTGGTGTGGTCATAAATGTGTTGGTGTGGTCATTGATGTGTTAATGTGGTCATTGATATGTTGGTGTGGTCATTGCTATGTTAATGTTGACATTGATGTGTTGGTGTGGTCATTGATATGTTGGTTTGGTCATTGCTATGTTGGTGTGGTCATTGCTATGTTAATGTGGACATTGATGTGTTGATGTGGTCATTGCTATGTTAATGTTGACATTGATGTGTTGGTGTGGTCATTGATATGTTGGTGTGGTCATTGATATGTTGGTGTGGTCATTGATGTGTTGATGTGGTCATTGATATGTTGATGTGGTCAGCTATGTTTACACCAAAAAATTTCGTGTGCATTACAGTTTCTCCCAGATGCCTTGAACCTTAGAGGAGAAAACCCCAGTTGTACGGCAGCCACAGAGAGGGTCTAGAACATGGTGCAGTCTTCTGTCAGAGCAGCACATGTCAACAGCTACAAGTCCAGCAGGCAGGAGGATGTCATGTCTATCCGTGTCAGGCATGTGGTCCCCTCTCTGTCATGTCCATCCATGTCAGGCATGTGGTCGCCTCTCTGTCATGTCCATCCATGTCAAGCATGTGGTCGCCTCTCTGTCATGTCCATCCATGTCAGGCATGTGATTGGCTCTCTGTCATGTCCATCTATGTCAGGCATGTGATCGGCTCTCTGTCATGTCCATCCATGTCAGGTATGTGGTGGCTCTCTGTCATGTCCTTCTATGTCTGTGACGTGACGGGTAGTTTAAATGTTTATAATGTTGAGTAGGGATGTTCCTCTCAACACATTACTTCCACCAGATTAACCGAACTAAAATCTGAGCTATGTTGCTCTCAGATAAAGTCCTGGATACCCAAGAAAACAGCCATATTGGCTCGTTAAGTACTTTAACATTAGCTGCACTTGGTACCCACAAGAGAAGGCAAGGAATTTTATATGTCTATCATACTTAATGAATTATTAGACAGGGCAAGTGATTCCTCCGTCATCTACCTTCTCCCGGTGTTATTATTAATAATTAAAGAATTATTATATTATTTGAGCCCCCACCAAATGGTATTCTATCCTAACAGTTTAATTAAACATGTAAGAACAGACATTTGGAATTTAACAAACTATGTAGTTTAAAACTTGACATACAGCTTTATTTACTACAATGAAATTACCAGTTTGTTGATTTACACAAACAGTGACTGGTTAATGAAAGTGATACGCTTCAGCGAGACAAACAGCTCGGGGTTTAGAGTGGTATGATAATGATGATAAAAGGTTAACATAAAGGGGTTAACTCAACTTATAAGCCTCTGACAGCCGTGAGGAACTGTCAAGCTTGTCCAACTCTTCCTTGCCTGTTGTCTGCCTGTTTCAGCTTATTCTCCACTTCCTCCCCACCTCGTTCTCCACATCGTTCTCCACCTCGTCCCCAGCTGGCCGAGTCTAACACAATGTAGGCTACTTCATGGACTGATCGTCACATGGGCGCTGTAATCATGGAAACAAAACACATACGTGTAGTATCTTGACTTACACTAAGAAAACATGTATCAATTAATACAACATATAATAATAAGATATAGCCCATCACTCCTCCTCATATTCCACATCCTCTCCAGTCTAGTCTGAAGGTCTTTTGTCTTACATGGGCGTCGCATATCCTGCCTTCCCTCAAATGCTATGTCATGATAGTTGACTTTCTAAGTCTGTTGTCCGTCATCACTCAGACTTCCAACTGGCTGACATTGATCTGACCTAAAGATGTGGCGCAGGTTCTGAGCTGAACACGCAAACAATTTATATGTGCACGCTGTCCTGAATATTATCTTTCAGTGACCGTGAATTCTATACACCCATCATTCTTCCCCTGGGGTTATAAATCCCCTGTTCAGGTGAACACATTAAGTGAGCACATGGTGGGCACACAAAACGTAGCAGCATCCCCGCACATATTTGGGCATCATTTCCCACAGTCCCAACTCATATTTTGGCTGATCGTGAAAACAATATAATTACATTTCATTATAGCAAATGTCATTGTTCACATCTTATTTTATACACATGAAAACATACAATGAAAAACATGTGACACAAACATACAAGAAATAGGAATAGTTTAGCAGTTCCCTAACTGAGATACTGAATTCTCACAAAGAACTATTTCAAGCAGAATGTGCAGACAAATTAGGAAAAGGTAGTATAGACTAAGCTTAACTCCCTAACCTATGTATACAAGATTGAAATTAATATTTTCTCTTACCTGGGAACTTTTCCATCTATCGCCAAACCAGAGTACGACAGTAAAATATACCTTTACGTCGACCTGTGTTTGTTTGCCGGCAGGCTGCGATTAATGACGGGAATTCCACAGGCTCGAAGTATACGTATCAATCTATTGTCCAAATTAATCTCCTCCCTTTACTGGGTTTTTACCCAACCCTCAAGATGATGGCTTAAGCTCCGCCTCCGGAGTACTTCTCAGATCAAATTAGCTAACAAGTGGCCTGTCAGTCAATTCTGGACTGACATCCCTAGAGCGAACATTCTTAAGTGACCCAATCTAGTTTACACCGAATCTAACTGGCCGGTGTGAAAGACGGTCAGTGAAGCCATTGTGTTTCCTACGTGACCAAGATCAAGATAAAGCATTCCTAATTGCCAAACACCTGTTCTCTCCAGAATTACACTGACGTGTTAAACTCCGACCTCCCGGCTCCACCATGTCTAGCGTCTACTCAATTCCCCTGTTCAAAAGGGCCACGCTCAGTCTCTACAGTCTGGTCAGGAGATAACATTCTGACACTGGCGTGAGAATAGAATTCCTAGCTACAGTGTAAGGTTTTAGGTAATATTACCCAAGGTTGGGTCGCTTTGTCTGGACTAAGGACTGGAAACATTTAAATCAATACGGTTTAAAGTAACATTTGGTTTAAGGGCATAGTCTCTTGTCTCTCAATAACCAGAAGAACTTATTACAAGTACTAACTTCTGGAATCACTGAGATCGTATCGTGACAATGTCAAGCATGTGATTGGCTCTCTGTCATGTCCATCCATGTCAGGCATGTGATTGGCTCTCTGTCATGTCCATCCATGTCAAGCATGTGAACGGCTCTCTGTCATGTCCATCCATGTCAGGCATGTGATCGGCTCTCTGTCATGTCCATCCATGTCAGGCATGTGATCGGCTCTCTGTCATGTCCATCTATGTCAGGCATGTGATTGGCTCTCTGTCATGTCCATCCATGTCAAGCATGTGATCGGCTCTCTGTCATGTCCATCCATGTCAGGCATGTTATCGCCTCTCTGTCATGTCCATCCATGTCAGGCATGTGGTCGGCTCTCTGTCATGTCCATCCATGTCAGGCATGTAGTCGGCTCTCTGTCATGTCCATCCATGTCAGGCATGTAATCGGCTCTCTGTCATGTTCATCCATGTCAGGCATGTGGTCGCCTCTCTGTCATGTCCATCCATGTCAGGCATGTGGTCGCCTCTCTGTCATGTTCATCCATGTCAGGCATGTGGTCGCCTCTCTGTCAGGTATGTGGTCGGCTCTCTGTCATGTCCATCAGTGTCAGGTAAGCATGTGTTCATTATTTAGACCTTGGCTAGTGCATGCACTGTCATGTTAAATATTGTCATTGAAATGCCTGTCAAGATTATTCTGTCAGCGTGTCTTCTTATCCCCTTGACTCTGTCTGCTTATTTGTAACCCTGTTGCTGAGTGAAGCCGCAAAACTGGCACTTCCAGTTGCTTCGATTTCCCTGAGAGAATCACTTTAATGGCATGTTCATGAGCGAATAGCACTGTTATCGTTTGCACCTGCGAACAAGAGAACTTGTCTAGAGACAAGAGGCACATGTTTGATGGTCATAGATTGCGTTTGTGAATCAGGTGAACTGTTTGGTTTTATTGTAATATGTAGCCATAGATTCTGTTTGTGAGTTAGGTAAACTCTTTGGTCTCTGTGATCTGTAGCCATAGATTCTGTTTGTGAATTAGGTAAACTGTTTGGGTCTCAGTGTGATATGTAGCCATAGATTCTGTTTGTGAATTAGGTAAATTGTTTGGTCTCAGTGTGATATGTAGCCATAGATTCTGTTTGTGAATTAGGTAAACTGTTTGGTCTCAGTGTGATATATGGTCATAGATTCTGTTTGTGAATCAGGTAAACTGTTTGGTTTTATTGTAATATGTAGCCATAGATTCTGTTTGTGAGTTAGGTAAACTGTTTGGTCTCTGTGATCTGTAGCCATAGATTCTGTTTGTGAATTAGGTAAACTGTTTATAACCGGGATATCTCTCAATGCGTCTTATGACGAAAATGAAGTCACTGGGCGCATGTAAGAGGGAAAAATAGAAGGGTCACAAAGGGGTGGTACGTCAGCCAAAAGTATCTTGTCTACTTGAAGCGGCGTCTCGCGACAGAAGCCCCCCTTTCGAAGCTTTCTGTAAGAATGCTAAGATCGCTGTCAAGTAGAACAAGAATACCAGACTACCACTTTCTGGCTCCCAAGACTTCCTCTGGTCTGAATTTCCAGTAGTCTTTATGACAATGTCTTGTCCAGTAGATGTGCTTAAAATGCATGCACCAGTGGTGTACTGACCGTTTGTCCGGAGGTATTGCATCCCCCAGAATCAATGATTTCGTGGGTCTGGATGCTGAGATACCAAGGCCAACCTGATAACAAGTCTTAACCCACAATGTACCTAGATTCTGCCCTATCAAAAGCGGTAGAGCTTGTAGGGACTGCTTGTATGGAAGAGTCACAGTGCAACTATCTTCCGCTATTCTCCTCCACCCATTATCAATCTTGGTACAATCTGTCACTTTCCTTTTGGTATAAGGGATGGCGTCCATCAAGGTACCATGAGGTTGGCGCAGTTTACCACTGACTCTTTCTTGGTAGGGGGTCAACTTGTCCCCTCCTGTGTGCATTCTGTCCTCCCCTTCATAATTTATCGGGGTGAGTTTCTCATGAATAGAGCTCCTTTCGGAATCAGAGCACAAAAGTAGTTCAGTAAATACAGTCACATCAGTCAAAAGTGGTTCGTTTTCTGAAGATGCTAAGGTGGTATTGCTTCGGACAGAAGCTTCCACCGGCAGCTGAGTTACTCCTGTCGCATCTTTCGAAGTGAAGAGTACTCTAAGACCAGAGTGTTTGGTTTCCCTTTTACTCTTGGCTTGTTCAGCCACAAGGTCCTTCATCTGAAGTTCCCCTGTGGTGTCAGCTGCACAGGCAAGAGATAGGCTCTCTCCCTGCCTAAAAGAAGTACATTCTTTTGTGTTGATGGCAAACAGTGCTGTTTGACCATTTTCAAAGTTAATAAGGCTTACAGGAATTTCCTGCTCATCAAGAGTTTCCTTCCCAGAATACTCTGCAAAGACCTCAGGGAAAGTATCCTCTGTGTCGGTTATTTCCTCCCTGGTCAAGCTTTTATGGACCCTGTCCAGAGGGAGTAAATAAAGTTGAGTGCTGCTGCCATCACAGTCACCCATCTGGGA